TCTAACATAAAATTAGCATTTCAATAATGGGCTATGGCATATCCCTTTTTATTATTTTTGGTTGATTGCTTAATCTGTTTATAACTATTGACTTGTAATTCATAATTGATTTAGCGATACTTCGTCATGCATTAATGCTGAAAGTTGTCTCAAGTTTAATTAACCGCTCTCCAAAAATGAAAAAGAAAACATTCAATCTCTTCATGGACCCAAAAGTGAAAGTTGCAACATCAAATATGTGTTTGTATGTGTGTATGTATAGGTAAGGTCATGATCTACAGCCTCATGTTGACAAGGTTACCAGGGACGTTCTGTCAAAATTAGGAAGGACACTATTTGGTAGGGCACTTCCAAAAGGGCTCCCATGACTTCTCCATCTCCGATCAAGCAAAAGGACAAACAAGGCCTAGCCAAAACTGGTCTTGACCGATCCCTTTTACTTCTCCTGGAGTTCGCGGGTTTGGTTGCACAGATAGAGCTTGAGTCCACGAGAGAGGTTAAGAAAAACTTGGGAATACGCAGCTTAATTCGAGGAAAAGAAATGAAGAATTGCAGGGTGGAGCTTCCAAATGCCTTTTTTGTCGAGTTCTCAGCAGCCTGACGCTTTTAAAATGATGCCCTCATTTTGTCTAGGTTAATTACATTTTACCTTTTCAGGTTTGTAGTCGATTTCAATTATTTACAACATCTTTAAAATATTTCAATTTCATACATTTACTTATTATTTTATTTTAATTTCATATATTCATTATAAAATCCGTTAAGTGATGACGTGACTGCTAAATTTGTGACACATGATAAAAAAATAATTTTTTATGCATTTAAAATATTATAATAATTTATCTTATTATAAAAAAATAAAAAAAAGAAAGAAAGAAACCCATCTTCTTCCCCGAGCACACCCATCCCACCCTACCCCACCTGCAACCCCCCACCCCACAAACCATCCAAAAACCCATCTCCCACCCCACCCACAGACACATGCACACCGAATTCAAAAATCCGATCCCAAATCAAAACCCCACCCACAAACACCTGCGCACCTGCACACTAGCGTATCGGGAAGCTTCTAGGGCTTCTTCAAGATCGAGCTGCGAGCCTGCGACGCGACTTCACTGCCAATGCAGTCGGCGACGACGAGGCCCGCATGGGTGACATTGCGCATAACGATTTTGCCCTCCCAGGACATGGTGTTCCGGTGCTCGAGGGTGGGTTTTGGGTGTGTGGGGTGGGGTGGGATACTGGGATGGGTGTGCTTGGGGAAGAAGATGGGTTTCTTCTTCTTATTATTATTATTTTAATAGGATAAATTATTATAATATTTTAAATGCATAAAAATTTATTTTTTTTCCACGTGGCACAATTTTGGCAGCAACATTATCACTTAACAGATTTTCTAACAGATGTATGAAATTGAAATGAAATTATAAATAAATGTATGAAATTGAAATGTTTTAAAGATGTTGTAAAGAATTGAAATCGACCCCAAACCTAAGGGGTAAAATGTAATTTACCCTTTTGTTTATTACATGTATATATTTGATTCTTATTGCTAGATGTTTTGATAAGTTATCCCTTGCCTATCTACTTTGAGAATAATCAACTTTTTGAGGCTTGATATTATGCTTAATTAGATAGTCTTGGTGGGTGGTGATTCAATTTTTTGTTTTTTTTTTTTTTTCATTTTATTCGATTATTGTGAGTAATTAACTTGGCAATTTTGTATATCTCATGCACATATGACATCAAGATACTTGCTTTGTAAATATTGGTCTTTTAAGAATGTTGTGAGGCGAAGTTTTGAAGAAAAAAAGGGACAAGTTATTTATTTTCTGGTAGATATCAAGTGAAATTTTCTAGTTCATGTTTTATTACGCAAACTTTTGAAGGGATAAATGGATGAGTTATTTGTTTGCAGGTGAATTGATTCAAGTGAATTTTTTCAAAAAACTTATTCATGCATTGATACTTTTATGGTATTTTACTCGTATTTAAGATGACGTTTTAGGGTTTGACGGTTGAATTTAAGAATAATGTTTATATTAGCAATGTAATTAGTGAACTGTTATTGATACTTGAAATTTTTTATTTTGCATTACTTACAAATGTATTTTTCTTTTTTATATATAAAAAGTTTAGGAGTGCATAATGAAAATTTGTGAGTGGGAATAACGATTTTCTATAATTAATAGAAGCATAAAACAATGAAGTTTTTTTTTTTTTTGGTTTACATCATAAAAAAAGTACACCCTTAACTTTTTTCAATTCATAATTCTAAAACGAACAATACTTGGCTATTCAAAGAATGAGTAAGAGTTCATACTCAAAATTGTTTGTTGTCGATTCATAGAATTCCGTGTATATGATCGGAACCATTCATATTATAAATCACTATATAAAGATCATCTTTGCAAAAAATCAATACTAAGGCCGGTTAGTCATCAAATTGTATAAAAACAGATGAACGGAATTGATAAGAGCATTACAAATTGTCTGTGGATTTGCTACAATAACGAACTAAACGACCTTAATTTTAAATTTATATTTTGCAGAGATGAATTTTACAAAGTGATTCATAATATAAACAGTTATGATTATAAATACAAAACTCTATGATTCGAACACGAATAGTTTTGAGTAGGAGTTCCTACTCATCATTGAGTAGTCAATCATTGATCTTCTAAAACCAATAAAAGAGTAATACAACAATAACGAACATAACATAAATATCCAAACCATTTTATTACTCTCTTGAAGTATAACTCTTCATGGACACTTTGCTGCTTCGCAGTTTAATATCAATATTTGTGCTAACATTATAAAATATTGTGAAAAAAAATGAGACGACACAGAGTCCATCGAGATTTCACTTTTGAAAAAGTATTCTTAGCAGTTATCTTACAATATAGATAAGAATTGTCTTATGTTTTTTTCATTTATATTTGCATAATAATAAGTTGATAAATTTTATTTGGACCCAGTTATCTTATCTCTACACCCACTTTTGAAAAAGTATTCTTAGCAGTTATCTTACAATATAGATAAGAATTGTCTTATGTTTTTTTCACTTATATTTGCATAATAATAAGTTGAGAAATTTTATTTGGACCCAGTTATCCTATCTCTACACCCAACTAAAAAAATTTCTCTACTAAACTTTCAAGTTTGCCCTTAAATAAATTAAGAATAAGAAAATAAAAGAACATAAACATTGGTGTTCTTATCTCTACATCCAATAACTCAAAAAAATAGCACACATCTACACTCCTCCATTATATCCAGCGAAACAAGCCCAAATGACAACAAAATATGCTCATGAGTTTATCAACAAGTAAGCTTGCTAGAAACTTGTGTTGCATGAAACCCTTAGTGGCCCTCATTTATAATTTTAGCAGAAAAAATTTCTTACCAATTCGTTGGACATGAAACAAAATCCTGCAGTATGAGAAAAAAAAACTTCCATGTAAGTGTCTATTTAGAAGAGACAACAATAAGGGTTTCTAGCAAGCTGACTTGTTAGTTTAAATAAGTTATGCAAGCAGTCAACTCCCAAATAATGGTTCAAACAAGCAAACATATCAGCTGAAAACCTACGTTAAAATTATAAATGAGGGCTAATAAGGGTATCTAGCAAGCTGACTCGTTGATGAACTAGAGAGAATATTTTGCTGTTATTTGGGTGAATTTTGCCTGAAATAATGGAGGAGGGCACTGGTGTGCCAGTTTTGGAGTTATGGGTGTAGACACCAATGTTTATTTTATTTTCTTATTCTTATTTATTTAAGAGTAAACTTGGAAATTTGATATATAAAACTTATTAGTTGGATGTAAAGATAAGATAACTGAATCCAAATAAAATTTTCCTAATAAGTTGCATGTGCACACTACCTAATTAAATCTCTTCTTATCAACAAGATATAAATAAATATTTATACAAATTCAAACTTTCAGCAAGATCAAAAAGTCAACTTGACCAATAAATACTCAAAAATATAGGGTTGTATTCAATTAAGAATTTGAGAGATTTTAATGAATTTATAAATTCATAGATTTTTATACAGTTTAACTATATGTAGAGATTCCATGCAAAATTTTGATTCAATTCCCTCAAAATCTCATAGGAGATGTGAAATTTGTGGATGCTTAAAATATATTACAAAATCTCTCAAATTCCCTCAAATTCCTCAACTTCTTTAAATTCAAATTCTAATTGAATACACCTGAAATGTTATAAATTTCTTTAAAATCCTAATTGAATACATCTGAATTTTTAAGAATTTTAATAAACTATTTTAAAATCATGATTGAATATACATTGAATTTCAGAGAATCATTTAAAATCTTAATTGAATATCCTTAAATTCATTAAAATAATTAAAATCTCTTAAAATTCCAATTGAATACATCATAATTAAACACCAAAGTCATCGGAATCAAAACGTGACACGAAACTGTAGTCGTTTGCAATTGTCGTAAGGGTAAATCCGTCATTGAACTCTTGAAAAAAACAGCGGGCAACTACCGCCTTTTTTCCGTAAATAAGGCCCCGAAACCATGGGCACTTTGGGCACGACATGGAGAACACAGTGGGGGCCAAAGTGAAAAAGAAAAAGTTTGATTGATGAAATTAAAAAAGTGAAAAATAATTAAAAAATAAAAATAAATAAACAGTGACACAAGAAAATTAAATTAATAAATCGAGATTTTCTAATTTAAAAGAAATAAATGCTCCGGACGCGAAAGGAGATTGGAATCGAGTTTAATAGGGATTTTGAGATCCGGATGCCAGTCTCTCTCTCTCTCTCTCCCTCAACGCTCTCTTTGTCCCTTATCGGCTCACGGTTCTCACTTGGCGCCCCACAGGAAGATTTTCTCTAACCCAACCTAGAGAGAGAAACAGCAGCAACACAGAGAAAGAGAAAGAGAAAGAGAAAGAGAGAGAGAGAGAGGAAGAAAGCCAGCCAAGACGACGACGGATAAGGTAGCAACAGCAAACCCTAGCGGTGCCCTCGTCTCCCCAAGGCACGGTAAACTACTCCCGGCGATTTGTGCCCTCCTCGATCTGGCTTCGAAACCCTAGGGCGGCAATCAACGGCGGAGGCTCGTGTAGTGTGTGGTGTGCGGAAAGCCCTAGATTCAGTGCGGTAGGGAGGGATTAGGGAGCTGTGAGGTCTGGTTTTTTTGGGGGCGGCGAAAGGCAGAGACTTTGGCGGGCGTGCGGCCGAGGGAGATCTTGGCGGTGGCGTTTGGGGTTTAGAAATTAGGATTGAAAGGTGTGGCTGCCCATGCGATTGGGTTGTTTTTGATGCCGCCAGAACCATTGCCTTGGGATCGGAAAGACTTCTTCAAGGAGAGGAAGCACGAGAGGTCGGAGTCCCTTGGCTCTGTGGCACGATGGAGGGACTCGCCCCATCATGCACCTCGCGACTTCAATCGTTGGCCTTCCGGCGATTTTCGCAGACCGCCAGGTATTTGTATGTTCTTTGTTTTCCACAATCTCCCTTTTGCCTTTGTTTCTTATCTGTATATCCAGTATTAAAATTATTGGCACCGGATGTATGCACACAAAAATTGCATTATTTTGCTGTTCTAGGGTTGTAGAATCACTTTTTTGAGGGGTGGGTTTGTTAGAACAAAAAACAATGATATGGGGCTGGGTTTGTAAAGTACTTGATCTTTAGGAGCATGTGCTTTCCACCAGTAAGCGGTTTGGGGTGTTTTTCTTAAGTTTCAGCACTTTAGATCTGCGAAACTGTGGAGATCTGACATGGGCAATCTATGTTTTTCTTTGATATTTTTGGAAAAATGGTTATTGCCTTTAATTTTTTGCTCTGTTTAAATATGTTTTGCTTGAGTTATGCTTAGTTTGAATACTTTGCTTGACTTAATTATTTATCTTTGCTTTTCCGTTTAAATATTTTCTGAAGGTCATGGTAAGCAGGGTGCTTGGCATGTGTTTTCCGATGATTCTGGTCATGGGTATGGATCGTCTCGGTCTGGTGATAAGATGCTGGAAGATGAGAGCTTCAGGCCGTCATTTTCACGTGGAGACGGAAGGTATGGCAGGAACAGTAGGGATAATAGAGGGCCACCTTACAGCCAGAGGGAAACCAAAGGCCATTCTTGGGATGCCAGAAGTGGGTCTCCAAACATGCCTGGGAGGCCAAATCATAATGAACAGAAGTCGCAGGATGATATGCTGACATACTCATCTCATCAACCTTCCGATTTTGGAAGTACATGGGATCGGATTCAATTGAAAGACCAGCTTGATAGAATGGGTGGTTCCACTGGTTTAGGTGCTGGCCAGAAATGTGAGAGAGAGAACTCATTGGGCTCAATTGATTGGAAGCCTCTTAAATGGACAAGGTCTGGAAGCTTGTCTTCTCGAGTTTCGGGTTTCAGCCATTTAAGTAGCTCAAAAAGCATGGGGCCCGTTGATTCCAATGAAGCAATGGTTAATTCACAGCCAAAAAATGCCACTCCAGTGCAGTCTCCTTCGGGAGAAGCTACTACTGGTGTGACATCTGCTGCACCATCAGAGGAAACAACTTCTAGGAAGAAGCCACGCCTTGGATGGGGTGAGGGATTGGCAAAGTATGAGAAAAAGAAAGTCGAGGTCCCTGATGCTAGCATGAACAATGATGGAGCTGTCTGTTCTGTTGGTAACACTGAACCTGCTCATTCTTTGAGTTCAAGCTTGCCAGATAAAAGCCCTAGAGTCACAATTTTCTTGGATTGTGCATCTCCTGCAACTCCATCCTCCGTTGTTTGCAGTTCTTCTCCAGGTATGTTGTTGCATCTTTACATTCGCATTACATGTTACACTATTTAAATTTCTGACCCGGCATGGAAGTGGATTTTGACAAGATTTGTGTTTTTTAAACTGTATTGTTATGTTGGCATTAATGTTTAGTTATGCATGCAAGTCTTGTACCATTTATTATGAGATTCAAATGAATTAAGCTACTTTTTGGTAGAAAGTTGGGCAGTGAATCCTCTCATAGGAACATTGTAGATGAAGCTTATCATTATTAACCTTTTGGTTTAATGGAATGGGGAGGGCGTGGGAGTAGAAAATTGAAAAGTATAGATTGAAGTACCTTCTCTCTTGAAATAGTTATTAAAAACTTTGATCTCGTGTTGTCATCCATTTCTTGTATTTTGTAAATTCCACATTTTTTTGAAACACTTCACGTATCAGAGAATTATATTACATATTTTTCTGTTGAAATACTGGTTTGACATGGTTATGTGTTCCATAATGTTATGTTTCTCTCCACCTTATCACATGTTCTATGCCCAGAAGTTCTTATGATTATAGTTACCTATGTTGTTACAGGTGTGGAGGAGAAATCATTTTGCAAGGCAGTAAATATTGATAACGATATTAGAAACGTTTGTGGTTCCCCAGGTCATATGTCCCAGAGTCATCATGAGGGATTCTCATTCCAATTGGAAAAGTTGGATAGTAATTCTATAGTTAACTTGGACTCATCACTACTGGAATTGCTTCAGTCTGATGATCCAAGTTCTGTGGATTCTAGTAGTCGGAGGCCTACTGCATTGAACAAGTTGCTCATATGGAAAGGTGAGATTTCAAAAGTACTGGAGGTTACTGAGTCGGAAATTGATTCACTTGAAAACGAACTTAAGGCACTGAACTCTGATTCTGGGGGCAGCTGCCCCCATCCAGCAACTTCTAGTTCTTTGCCTGTGGAGGACAAGGATAAATCTTGCAAAGAACATGTCACAAATTTGATTACTCTGCCTATTGCGTTGCAAATTCATTCTTCTGGGGACACTGATGTGCAGAAAATGTGTGTTGACAACAGGGACCAGGTAGAGTTCTGCGGTATTGTCAACGATGAGGATATTGATAGTCCTGGAACAGCTACATCGAAATTTGTTGAGTCATTACCGTTGGTCTCTTCATCTGATATGATGAATCAAACTGGTTGTTCTGAGGATTGGGATCCAATCCAGACAACCATAGGGGAAGAGACATGCTCAGTGCCCAGCAGATGTACAGAAAAGACAGACCCGTCTACTTGTGGAAATAGTAGCATGCTTTTGGATAAGGAGATAGTTGCACCGGCCTGTGGTGTAGTAGATAAGTTATCTGATTCTATATTTTCGGCCAATAAAGAATTTGCAAGTAGAGCATCTGACATATTTAGTAAGCTGTTACCAAAAGAGCAATATGAGGTTGATCCATCTGGAGTAAGTGTTCCATCATCCTGGAAGAATGATCCATTGATCAAAGAGAAGTTTGCCAAGAGGAAGCAACATCTGAGGTTTATGGAGAGAGTTGTAACCTTAAAATTTAAAGCCTTTCAACACTTGTGGAAGGAAGACATGCATTTGCTTTCCATGCGAAAATGTCGTTCAAAATCTCACAAAAACATTGAGTTGAGCTTGCGAGCAACTAATAATGGGCATCAGAAGCATCGATCTTCAATTCGATCTCGATTTTCTACACCTGGTAAGAAAATTCCATCTGTTCTATCTGTTTGTCTTTCATGGTTTTGGAAGAAAGTGATTGATATTATAAACATGCTGATATTCTCGTATCTGAATAAGAAAAACTAAATAAAACAGTTCTGTGAACTGTTCATGATGGCTAAGGTTGTGACACTGTCCTGGTTTTTTTCCTTAACAGAATCTGGTTTTATGTTTCTGTTGCTTTTTGTGGCATTTGATACTTTTGCAGTCTTTGTTTGGACGTGGTTATGAAATTTTACTTATGCATGAACTTTTTGTATACAGTTTATAGTGAATATAAGGAAGGAGGGGGACAGGAGACGGCCAGGCACATTTAGCATCTTGGAGTGCTAAAATAACAATTCCCTTTGAATTTATACACTTTTTAATTTTATTTTTATGAATTTTTGTCTATCTTATGGTAATCAATATTTGTTTTTCAGTAAGTTTAGCAATTAACTTCTGATGATTGATACACCATTCTTGCCTATGAGGCACTGATGCTGACTCTGGTGCGATGGTTTTCATTGTTTTTGCCTGTGTTAATAGTAGTGATTACTTGGATTTCTTTTGTTAGGTTTTTGGGCTTAGGTCTTCTGTTGATATGCTTATTTGGATTTCTCTTGTTGCATGCTTTACATAACTACTTCTCATAAAGGATGGTTATTTTATAATTTGATCAATGTGAGAAGTCTATTACTGTATATCTTTGAAAACAAATACCTCTACTCTTACGTTTTGGTCAAACATTTTATTCATATGTTTTTAATGATTTTTTTCAGCAGGAAGTCTGAACCTGGTCCCTGCCACAGAGACTATTAATTTCACTAACAAGTTGCTGTCAGATTCCCAAGTCAAGCTGTACCGGAACTCATTGAAGATGCCGGCCTTAATCTTGGACAAAAAGGAGAAGATGGCGACAAGATTTGTTTCTAGTAATGGTTTAGTTGAAGATCCCTGTGCTGTTGAGAATGAAAGGGCTTTGATGAACCCATGGATGCCAGAAGAGAAAGAACTTTTCATCCAAAAGCTAACCATCTATGGGAAGGATTTCAGGAAAATTGCTTCGTTTCTTGATCACAAGACGACTGCTGACTGTGTTGAGTTTTACTACAAAAACCACAAGTCTGATTGCTTTAAGAAAGCAAAGAAGAAACCTGATATGGCTAAACAAGAAAAGTCCTCGGCTAATACCTACTTAATTTCAAATGGGAAAAAGTGGAATCGTGAGATGCATGCTGCTTCCCTTGATATTTTGGGTGCTGCTTCAGCAATTGCAGCTCATGCTGAAAGTAGTACAAGAAATCGACAGACATATTCGAGAAGGTTAATTTTGGGAGGGTACAAGAATACCAATACATCTTATGGTGATGATACCATGGTTGAAAGGCCTTGCAGTTTTGATACTATTGGCAATGAAAGAGAAACAGCTGCTGCTGATGTTTTAGCAGGTATATGTGGCTCGATTTCATCTGAGGCTGTGAGTTCTTGCATCACTAGTTCCATTGATCCTGTTGAGTCTTATCGGGAGTGGAAGTGCCAGAAAGTGGATTCTGTAGTAAGGCGACCTTTGACACCTGATGTAATGCATAATGTGGATGATGAGACTTGCTCAGACGAAAGTTGTGGAGAAATGGATCCTTCTGACTGGACAGACGAGGAGAAGTCTAGCTTTATTCAGGCAGTGTCATCCTATGGAAAGGATTTTGCTATGATCTCGCGATGCATTAGATCAAGGTCTCAGCATCAATGCAAGGTTTTCTTTAGCAAGGCTCGGAAGTGCCTTGGCCTTGATTTAGTGCATCCGCGGCCTGGAAATGGAACATCTGTTGGTGATGATGCTAATGGAGGTGGGAGTGACGCTGAAGATGCCTGTGATCTGGAAACCGGTTCGGGTATTTCCAGTGACAAGTCAGGCTGTAACATGAACGAGGACTTGCCGTCATCTGTCACAAACATGAATGACGATGAAGCAGATCCTGCGGAGAGCATGAAATTGCAAACAAGCCCACTCAGACCAGAGGAAAACAATGCGATGGCAGAAGTAGATCATGGAGATGGTAAGCCTCTCAAATTTCTTGCTTTTGGTGATGACACTGATATCATGGATTCCGGTGCTATGGGAGGTAATGTGACTGAAAACGGAATTTTGGTTGCAGAATCACTAACTGTTGGTGAGGGAATCAACTCTGACACACCTAATCCTGAATGTATGGTTGGGGAAAAATTGGTGGGTCAAAATTCTTTTGATCGATTTGGAAAGGAGTTGGAGGGGGGAGATGAAAGAACCAATAGAGGTAAAAGTGGATGTCACATACCAGTTTCAGTACACGATTTGTGTGGCAATGCTTCTGACCAGGCAACCGATGGTTCTTGTTCAGGTCTTAACCCTGAGTACCTGCATGAAGTTTCTGTTGAGCTGAATTCTGTGCAAAAGCCTTCAGTCATCCCATTGCCACTTGAGAATCCTCTTGCGACTGCAGATACAGCGGGACAAGATTCTGCTGCCATTGAATGCGAGAAATCCCTTGACCAAGATAGGTTGTCATCAACCCCGGATCTGCAGGAGGGTAGAGATCATCAGTGTTCTAAATCTGTTGGTGAGGATGATAGTCGCAAGCACTTGTCAGGTTTTCTGGTATACACAAATGTTGAACCTTCGCAAGTTATCAGAGGCTATCCATTGCAAATAGCAACCAAGAAAGAGACAAACGGGGATATAAGTTGTGGTAATTTATCTGAAGCTAAGCCAGACAGAAATATCAATGGGCATTATATGACACAAAATGGCTTTCTTCAATTTAGGAATTGTAAGCCTTCATGTTCTGAGGTTGATTTTCCTCCTGTGCCCCTAAAGGTAGAACAACCAGGTGACTCTCGAAAAGCCCATTCATGGAGTTCGTCAGATTCAGATAAACCAAGCAGGAATGGTGATGTGAAACTATTTGGTAAGATACTTAGCAACCCATCCAAGTCAACTTCCAGCATCCATGAGAATGAAGAGGGAGCGCATAACCATCAATTAAGCAACAAGGCATCTAACTTAAAGTTCACTGGGCATCACAGTGCTGACGGGAGTTCTCCCCTACTGAAGTTTGATTGTGGTGGTTATTTGGGCCTCGAGAATGTTCCCAGGAGAAGTTATGGCGGGTTTTGGGAAGGGAATAAAGTGCGAACTGGTTTTTCATCTTTTCCTGACTCAGCTATCTTGCTGGCCAAGTACCCTGCAGCATTTAGCAACTTTCCTACATCCTCTTCCCAAATGGAACAGCAGCCACTGCAGGCGGTTGTGAAGACCAGCGATGGGAGTATAAATGGCGTGTCAATTTTTCCTGGCATGGAGATTAATGGTAGCAATGGAGTTGTTGATTATCCGGTGTTTAGCAGGGGTCGGGATGGTGGTGCCAAAGTGCAACCATTTACAGTAGATGTGAAGCAGCAGCGGCAAGACATGTTTGATATTCCAAGACGAAATGGGTTGGATGCAATCACGAGCTTACAGCAGCAAGGGAGGGCGATTGTCGGGATGAATGTCATGGGCAGGGGAGGGATCCTTGTAGGGGGTCCATGCACGGGGGTATCAGATCCCGTGGCTGCCATTAGAATGCACTATGCAAAAACTGAGCAGTACGGGGGGCAGGCGGGGAGCATTGTCGGGGAGGAAGAGTCGTGGAGAGGGGGCAAAGGGGATATAGGCAGGTAGTAGACGGTTGCAGGGGGGGCTGGGCCTGCCCATTGGCGCACCCTCAGTGGCGAATTGTTTATTTGCTGCACCATGTATAATAGTTTTTGGTTGATGTTGGTTCGATGCAGTCAGCGACATAATAGGCAAAAACGGACGGTTTAGAAGTCCCCGTCTATTTCTTTTTCTTTTGTTTTTTGGGTAAAATGCTTTTGTGTTTTTTAATTTATTAGGTGGTTGTAATGTTGCAGCAGAAGCAGGAGCATCTTGTATTTGTTGTATTTTATGGAAAAAAAAAAAAATACAGAAGTTGGGAAGAGGGATGGATGGAGAAATATTTATTCCATGTTCGCGAGCTCTCCATCTCTGATCTGATCTGACGTCTTTGCCTTCAATCACCTTAAATTTGTCGAAAGCACTCCATCGGCAGCATGATTGACATTCGTAATGTTAACGAGCAAGGATCGTTTGAAAGTACATTTAAAATGACTAAAAGCAAGAAATGTTGTCGTCAAAAGCACTCAGTCAAAACTCAAAAAGTACTTAAAAGCGAGCCCTCACTTGGGCATTCAAAGGATGAGAAATGATGAGAGAACCACTAGGTGAGCGTGCAAGTTGTAGCCACAATTGCCGGCCAATGTACATGAAATGAAGAAAATGCCTCGAAACCACAAAATTCTACACAAAACCATAAAACTGGAAGGGAAAGACAAGAAGGAAATATCTTGATGAAAAAATGGTCATCCGCATTATATATTTATTCTTCTCTCAAGTCTTCAGAAAACTTGGACAGTGTTTGGAGTCACAAATGGAACAGAGAATTATACCCTGCATAATACATGGAGACGATGGAACGGATCGATCCGCTGCCATCGAAATACAACGAAATCAGCAGAACACATCTGTGGATGACGAAGGACGCGCCACCTGAAGGCCAACCGAATTCCACTCCTCAATTGCATTGCAGTGACCGGTTTTCACCTGGAGCACCTGTAACTCGCTTGTCGCACCACCAGCGGAGGTTTCAGTCAGAGGTAGTTTTTTAGAAGCCACTGCTTTCAGACGGTACCTTTCTGCTCTGGAGCCAATGACCTGTCCAAGTACTGATGCGGCAATGGTAAACGCCATGGCTGATTTAGGCATCAGCACAGACTTCCGGAGTACGGCTATGAATGGGACAGCTGCATGAACAGCCGCGAACCAAGATAGTGAGAATTTCTGGGTGTGCTCTCTCCATATACCTAAAGGAACATTGGCTGCCATGCCCATTGCTCCAATCACAAGTACTTTTGCAGGAAGGGGTTGCGGGCGGAGGTTCTTTGCAAATGCAGTTCGCGACAGGGCTGCTCGGGCAGCAACTATTGCAGGCGGGCACTTGATTTTCATGCCTGGAGGGGGCTGAAAAGCCTTTGCGACTAGTGGAATGACACCGCTAACAGCACGGTATGACTTTGCGATTGGACAGCTTCCGGATTGCAGCCACTCATTGCTCACTGCCTCGTGATTAGAATTTCCTCCCTGAAACATCAAATTTCAACCATTATTAGAAATTTGTTCAATGACACAAAGTACAAAAAAACCAACAAAATCACAGGCAGTTTCAATTACTCAATACGCTGGGAAATTAGTACTTGGAAGCAACCGTCAATTTACCTTTGAAGTAGAATCCTTCTTCGAGGAATTAGATTTCTTTTGCTGGTTCTTCCATTTCTTATGGAATGCATCGAAACTGAATGGCCCTCCAGCCCCAAAGGATGAGAGACTGATCGTAGCTGCCCTTGCAGCTAATGGATTAAACACAGGTGGAGCTGGTTGACGCTCAACTATGTCAGAATGCACATATGATCCTCTAGAAAGCGGGACAACTCCGTCACTCCCATGGAAAAGGCGAAATGCCATGTTAAAATTGGGACCATCTTCAAAAATTGGACCTTTGGCTCTACGTCCCTGATCAGGAAAAGAAGAAAGCAATGTCAGGAAAATGCCGCAATTTCAATTAAGTCTAGTACTAGGCAACAATAGTAGATTCAAATCGGAAAAAGGATAACTTACGGGCACTGGGAATGCCAAGGATGAGGCGAAGGAAAAATTGGTTGGCTCATTAATGTTTCTCAAAAATGGGCATTTGAGAATGTCTAGCTCAGACGGCACACAATCGTCACTTGGAGCTTTGAAATTGAAAAAGGAATCCATCTCTAATGTCCAAAAAATTAACCTGCGCACAGAGGAACAATGAATAATCAGTAACTCCGCCACAAAACCATGAGCTCACATACACCAAAAATATCAACATGTCTGAAATCAGACATCGATCCTCCCTCTTGCATATAAGAAAATCAAATCCGGGTCGAACCAAACGATTAAGAACCATCGAAAGCATCAGTTGTTGCAAAATAACCCAGTCGAAAATTAAAGATTTTTTGAAGTTCTAAACCAACCTACCGCCAAAAGCCCCAAAACAAATAGATTATACTCAGACACAAGAACTTCAAGAAAGTTGTCATCAAATTATGGTCTTGATTAATTCACAAAAAACCATTAATGTAAATTATAATTCAATCAGCTATTAGACTACTATAATGTTTAAAACCCGTTAACCCAGATCGTTCATGAACTCAAATCCGACACCAAACTCGAAATTCTCAAGATTCAATTCCCCAAGAAAATAAATTGACCCAGAAATCGAGCATCGACATCATCGACACATTACCCAACTCATTTCAAAACCCAGAATCCCAAGAATCCACCAAAACACATCAATCGCAGCACAAATTCAAGCAAGATTACGAATCCAAGAATCATTAAAGCCAAGAAATGCAGAAACTTCAGAGAATTACAATCACGATTCACGAAACCGCAAATTAGAAACCAGAAAATTACACGAAATTACAAGAACCCAAAAGCGAGGAGAGAGAAATCGTACCTTGAGAGAGGTTTTTCGGAGGGGCAAAAATCCGTTGACAGCGAGAATGCTAAAGGAGGAGGAGGAAGAAGAAGAAGACGGAGAGGAAAGGTATCGGTGTGTTTGGTGGAACTGAAAATATTGACTTTCGTTTTGGGTTTTGTAGAGAGAGAAAGGGCTTGAGAGAGAATGAAGACGACGTCGTCTGGTGAGCACACGCTTTGTACTTTCGAGTCTTTGGGATTTAGGAACGTGAATGGGGCCTGCCGCATTTTGGTCCAAGATCTGACGTGGCGGCTTGCTGAACGTTTCCAATTTTTGGGGTGCGGGGCCCACCCCGGTCCAAGTCGCTCTTGGTGTGTGCACCACGTGCTTTTTCGGTTTATGTTTGTTTTTGGTGTGTGCACCCTATTTATTAATTTTTCGTTATTTAAGAACTTATTTTGAAGTACTTTTTAAATATCTAAAATCGTTTTTAGTGAAATGTTTTTGAAGCAAATTCTTAGTAAAATGCAAGTGAATCTTAGGAAAGAATTGACGTCACATAAAATAACTAGTGCTTCTTACAAAAAATATTTTATATGCTTTTAAAATTTACAAATATTATTTTTAAATACGCTTTCAAATAATCTCTCAATTGTCATTTAGTGCTACAATTTAGTGTTATTCCTCTTCACTTGTAAGTGAGAAATCTTAGGTTCAATTCTCGACAAAGACGAATTTGAATCACATTATTGTTAGCTCATTGTGAGACTAGATCCACTCTATCTCCTTAATGTAAATAATATCGTTTGAGAAAAAAAAAAAAAAGAATAAAAAGGGCCCTCAATTATTTTGAAAAATAAGGAAAATGTATAATATATTTTTCTCATGGAAGGGATGATTCATGAGTGGTAGAGTGGGCGTTGGTGGGTAAAGCAATTACTAGGAGATATGTTTCACATTTTTAATTTGGCAAGTCATGTTTCGATTAGTTTTATTTGGAGGTTAAATTATTATTATCGACCACTTAGTAGTACTGGTATTTGAGTTGATAATTTTGATTTTTAAATATATTATTAAAGTAAATTAGTGGTCTCCTTTGTTGTTTATTTTTAGTGAGGAATAATTTCGAGTCAAACTATATATTTCATTGATGGACTGTTACTGCTACGCGCAATAATTTGAGTATTTGTGTTTTCTTTTTATACTAAAAAAATTTATAACTAAAGTTTGAGAATAGAGGTATAAATAGATTAAAATGATAAGCGTTTCTAACCGACAAAAAGAGACGAATTTCTCATAAACGACAAGTGATTTGTAAAAAAATTATTCTTTCAAAATGATGTTTGAAGTGTTATTTGTACTAAAATTGGAGTTTTGAGAAATTTATTTGTCAAGAGTATCAAAACTATTGCTCATTTGGCTAAAAAATTTCATTTATAATTAAAACATCATGTATTGTTATTAATTCAAGCGTTATAATAAACCACATCTTATCGTATGAGTGAAAATTGGAAGACTGATAATCTCATTAATATGATGGCAGGCTTGCTTTAGACCTTTAGTTATGTACACCCCTAAAACCCACGTCATGGCTGACGTAAAATAAAAATAAAAATATTGACTTTGTCACAGATTGTATTATTTGGGCAGTCAGACTTTAGGCCAAGGACCAAAATAAATATCTTCACTAAAATCCCCAATTATTAACCATTTTATACTGAATTTTAGTCAATTTGAGGCTGAGAATGTACACTGCTTTTTTCATATTTTTCGGCTAGCTCGTACCGAAAGCTGAAGAACACATTCGGGTTCTGCTAAAAAGGAAGAGTCAAGTCAGTTGTATAAGAAGAAACAAAACTAGTAATGATCACTTTAGAGAGGTATCTGCCCGAAAAGGGACTAAATCTATATCATACAACCTAATCGGGAGTTTGCTCCTCGACGGATTTCCTGTATTCCGGTTTCAGCTCATACGTCCCTTGATTAGCTCCCCTGTTGTTGTACACACAGATGTCCTTGAGTATGTCTTTCAAAAATTGCTGCCAAAAACAAGTTCAGTGTCAAATCATCGATTCATAAGAACCGTGGATTTTCCTAATGTACCAACATAATGATGATAAAAAACAAGGCTCACAGTTAATCAAGATCATCACCCTCATTGGTGTTACAAGTTCAAAAGAATGGAGTCTTGGGTTTGGTCTGTCTTACCTTTCAGCGTTAATGCCACTCCCATGTATTTCCGGCGATACAAAAATTCTAGACTTCCTGGTATAAGATATCTAACCGTATGACATAATGTAGGATACAGTTTCTTATGTAGCTGCCTTTAAACTATGCTTTTCGCATCAAAATGCGTTGCCTAAATTTCGTGCTATGTAGCAGAAACTTGGAAACGGAAAGATCTTACATTGATTTGGAAACGGAAAGATCATGATAGTACTGTAAACCAGATATAATAAGGCAATCAGAAAGAAAATAAGCAGAAAACATAACATACTTCTGGTTGGTTTGTCTCTTGGATCAGTTGCCTTAACGTGCGGTTTGGTTTCTGTTCAAAGAGATTAAACATAATATCCTCCATTTCTCCGCGGTCCTTCCTTGTTCTTTTCATGTCTGACCCCTTCGTTGGCATTTTCTTTTTCTCCTATATGAAAGACAGGTTCTACTTATGCTCAACACAATGGTGGATAATCAATGGTGAACTTATATTCTGACATACAAATGCGGAGCGGAATGATGTGAGTGCATTAAGGGAAGCAAGGACTAATCTCACTCGAGAAAATAGTGCAGAAAAGGAGGGTAGCTATACGCACGCTGGGTCCAGGAGACATAAAACCGATCATCATCCCAGGCCTGGGTCTCATATGAGCCCCATTGTCATTGTTCATCACCTGAAATTTGAAAAACGGACAAATTAGTGGATATATTACTGGAATAGAGTACTAGATAACCCAAATAGAGCATGAGAAAAAAATATATGAAGTAGTTCGGGGTACCTGGATCTTTCTACTCTTCATAGATTTTTTGGTCCGTTCGCGGCAAAGTTTCCCATAGTTCTCAAGGTTCTCGTTATGGGGTTTCATGTCAAGTTTGTCCAATATGAAGCCCTCCACGGATAAAGTCCCTACGATGATATATAATTTCGACACTCAGTTAAGATCACCACACTGACAGCTAAAGTTAAGAAGTGCTTGTGGCTGTGCCGAAGGAAATATAATCTTCACAATTTTTAACACATTGTTTCTGATTTGAGTATTAATCCCTCAAAAGCATGTATTTCCAATGGAATAACTTGCATACTTCAAACGAAGAAGAAAAAGTTCTGTAAATACGTGATATTAAACTGTTCTTTGAGGATGAATATATTCGAATTTAAGAACCCGAATCCATAAACTCGGGTTTCTTAATGGCCCAAAAACTTGCTTTCCCTCCCAACACAAAACCAGTTTACACAGCAACAATCTGTTGGAAGGACCATTTACCATGTTAGCAGTCAGAAAAAAAAAAAACAACGAGCGGAAAACTCTGCAATGTATCTCTCAGCAGAACAATGTCAAAGCAAAGTGGATATCCAACAAGAACAGCGGCATCATAACATCAAGCCGATTGCATTTCAGTATCGAAAGAGCCACGGGGAAAGAGGGAATGCTTACCTTGTGATGACTCAGCAAACAGAGACATTGGAATGAAGTTTCTAGTCATATCCAAAGCGTAACACTTGGGTAAATTTTCAGATTCCGTGGCCGCCAGTTCCATGGTGAACTGAGTGTCATTTAAACAACTTGGTGAACAAGGAAGGGCAGCAAAACAAGGATGCATGTATGCACAGATGAGTGGCATTATAAACATGAAGACTATAACCCAAAACTTCACAAAAGTAAGCGGAAAATTTTCGATATTCTACTTTAAACTAATCTAAAATGTGGGGGAGGGGAATTCAAACTCGTGTGCATTAGTGCATAGAGGAAGAACATCTGCAAGGAAGGCAACAAACAAGGATGTATATGCGAAGATTAGTGGCATTATAAACATTAAGAACTTAACCAAAAACTGCGCAAAATTAAGTAGCACAATTTTCAATGTCCTACTTTAAAAGTAATCTAAATTGCGGGCTGGGACTTCCAACTAGTGTGCATAGAATAGCTTAAACCTATTGAACCCATAAAATAGCTTAAACCTATTGAACCAACATGGGCCACATCTGACAATCAAATACAGAGAAATCCACACGATCAAAGGCAAGAGAAAAACAAAGATCACGGCCCGAAACGACAATGCATGCACAAAAAAGGAAGAACTCAAAACCCAAAACGCAAAAACGATGACAATTCAATGTGAGTGACCGAAGAACATGTGTGTATAATATATATATATATATATATATATATATGAAGAAGAAGAAGAAGAAGAAAGTACCTCTGTTGTCTTGGTGATAGGGTCCAAACAGAAAACCACCTTGGCCACAGGGGGAGAAGACTGCTGCTGATCAGAAGCGGAGGCGGCGGAGGCAGCTGAGAAATCAGGTTTCAGACAGCGAGAGACCCGCGGGGGAGTTTTCAGGAGCCACAGTGGAATATTTGCTCCCTTGGTCTCCAGCAAACGCCCATTGACGACATTGTTATTGCCTTCTTGTGGTTTTTGGTCTTCCATCTTTTGGCATTGGGTTGTCGCCACGGCCATAGCGTTCATTGTTTATTTGCTCAGAGAGTGAAACAAGAAACGGTTTTTCCTGATCATTCTCCGACAGATGTGCAACGGACAGGGTCATATTTTTATACAAAGATTTGGTGTCGGGGGTTAAAGTGAAAATATCAATTAAATCGTCCAAACTATATTATAATTTATAACACATAGAGTAGTAACACAATGCGACAATTATCTCGGTTCATCCATACTCTTAGCCTCTTAGGACTGCATTACTTATTTGTCCCAATGCTGTCCGTGAACATTCTATAGCTTAGCATGAGTGACAGTGGAATCATGCAGTCTCTAAATCCTACCTTTTCGGTTAGTGTTTAATGAAAAAAAGCACTTGAACGTGTCTTATGGAGGAAAACCTTCTTTGAAAAGCTTTCTACTACGCGTAAGTACTTCTAAACTTTTCAGCCAAACATAACTGGAAGCACTTATGGTTGTATGAAAGCACTTTTGACCATCAAGAAGTCCCTAACATGCCACAAACTAAAATTTGCCGGATGGTTTACCACGAATTCAAATTATTTGTTAATCATGTTTATGGATCATGGACGAGAAAACATCCATCCAGCAAGGGTAGGATATGGAGAGCTTCTACCTTGCAAGAAAATGCATACGGAAAGAGTTGCAACGGAGAAGTATAAATACGAAAACAAAGTAAAAGCACGAATCTTCTGCAATAAACGGGGAGTAAATGAACAAAAACAATTCTCGATTTTGCGAGTTAAACATTGAGAGGATACAATCTAGTGAAGCAAAATAATACAAATATTGCAAAATAAACGAGTATGAATTACACTCATCGCAATATCACACGTCTCTTCTTCCCGTTTCTTGAAAAACAAGTCATAGCAAAGAATAGTACACGGGGTAACATTTGTAATGGTGGTCACCAAAATCTGTTTTTAAGTTACACAGTTGAGTAGAGCGGTGTTCAAGATGGAACAGAATCGGAGTTGTTGCTCCCAGTGGAGTTCTGTTTCCTTTCTGCTTGAAGTGACCTGCACAATGATTCAAGCTTTTCTTTCTGGTTCTTTGTTTTCTCCAGCTGATTCTTCAACCGTTCACGCTGCTCAGACCAACAGAAAATCAGTGTTATACCTCATCTGCACTGTTTCTTAATAAATCATCAGAACGGTTTGATGTTTACTGTTGATTGATGACTAATGCAAAGAAAGAAAAACAAAGTGCAAGCAAACTATACCTCGTCTACGAGTTCTATAAGAGTGACATCTGTTTTCTCACATTTGCTCTTCAAGAATAAGTTTTCCTTCTTGAGTTCCTTGATGGACTTTGCCATCTAGGGTTTTGCACATGTAACAAACAGAAGGGTAGTTTAGTTGAAGACGAATATATAACGTGAGTTATGCTGCACAGGAGAAAGCAGTGAAAGTGTGTCTAAATGAAATGTAATTTGAATGAATATGTCACCTTTTCAATCTCCTGTTTAAATGTCTCAAAAACTTCATTGCTTTTCAACAATGCGTCCTGCACGATAAATATTTATCAGTTACGACCAGGTAGATTTGTACGCTGATAACACAAACATTCAGCACTCGTAAGGTGCTCTGCCATGTATCTTAAGGATCCATTTTGAAAGATGAGTGCTCAAGATTCCCAATTGAGCACAGAAGAGCAGGATGCCTTTCTTCAAAAGTGTCAAATGAACGCATACGTTGGAAGAAAACCCAAAGTCTAAGCACATTTAATGATTTAAACAGTCTAAGGAGACTTGAAAGTTACCACGTTTTTGCCTACATCTCACCTGTTAACTACTTGGACTTATAATTCCAAGTAAATTAAAGACACTAATTGTATCATGTCACGAAATGCACAAGTTAATAATATATCCATCAAAAACCAAGGTAAGGTCTTTTTTTTGTTTCATGATATTGCATAACATACTCTGCGTGCAACAACCAAACGTCTACAAGTGTATACACGTGAGACTCAACCTACTAGCATACCCCATAACTAACACGCCTAGAGCCTACAGTGCAAATGGACCAACATAGTTTTGTACTCTGAGAATTCTGCAGAGAAACATTGACAGCCTCTAACCAAGCAATTACTCATCCGGTTCTGGTGACAAAGTTTCATAATAATGGGTAAAAGCAATGCGTAAGACAGAAGAATATAACCTGAAACTGTTGGAATTTCTCCCCATCAGCCGTCAACTGTAAGCGCAAATTCTTTTCTGTTGATAGTAACTGTGACACCTGTTCAGCATATAATTTCATCTGGGACTGTTCCTGGAGTAATTTCTCTTCATGCTGCTTAGTCTTCAAATCAGCAATTTGAAGCTCCAGTGATTTCTGCTTTAACTGTTCATCCAAAACAAAACCACTACAGAAAAGTTAAGTCCCTACCTAATAAATTAAACAATCATTATAACTGAACTAAAGTCATTCGTACAAGTTACAGCTAAATTTTACCTTCTGTTCATATTGCTGTTCAGAAAGAGCGTGCTGATAAGTAAGCTGCTGGAGCTTAGTTCTTAACCTGAAAATGAATGAATGTTAATTATCTAATTTTAACACAATAAAGATAAATTATAGAAGCCTATATGATGAGTGCAAGCACAAGGACAACCAAAAAGGGAATAAAACAATAGCATAAATCAACCAAGTGAACATAAAAAAGAGATACCGAGTTGTCAAACTTTTGTAACGAATAATACATGACACTACCCTCCTATAAGGAAAAAGTTTAATATATAACACTTAGGATGACATTGATCAAGTTTGGTCTCGTTGAGACACACACATGCTAGGGATCTCCCAAGGTAAGTAAATCCAATTTGCTATGGTATTTTCTGCAAGATATAGCAAGCTTATTTCCGAAGACATCTGGGTCTTACATTTCATTCTCCTTTAGCTGAGAGATACACTCTTCCTTTTGCTCATCCAGTTTAGTGCTCACATCCTATAACCATAGGAATTTAATGTCAGAAAACATGCATTAAAGAAAACAATAATGAACTGAACCAATAATTTTTTCTTTTAAAATAGAAAGGAAGTAGTTCTGAATTCTGATGTTCAGAAAGAATACAAAAATGCTTGTTACTCAACTGAACCCTGATAGGAGCATATTCATGCGACTTAAATGGCTTGTTCTCGTGCATTTACGTTATGTTTCTCTAGTTATTTTAGTCCTTTATGCTTCTTTTGTGTGTTTTCAGGTTCTAAGGGCAAGGTATGCAAAAGGATGCCTTTTGAAGCCTTTTGGAGCAAATTAGAGATTGGAATGGATATCATATGCTTGGAGCCAAGAGGATGGACGAAATTAAAGACTTGAAGTAGGAAAGTTAAATCCTAAAAGACCTCATGTTTAAGCATCATTGAAAACTCCTACGCATTTTAGAACACAAAAACAACATTCCTTGCAACCTTAGGACATTGTCGTGTGTTTCCTTGTGTCTCCGTTCCTTGCCATGCAAGGAAGGGTTTTGTTCCCTATTTTTAAACACTTAAAGCATTCACTTATCATATCATTCACTTAACATATCATTCAATTATCATATCATACATTTATCACTTATCACTTCCATTCACTTATCACTCACCACATATCATTCATTTATCACTTATCAAACCATTCACTTATCATAACATACACTTATCACTTATCACTTATCACTTCCATTCACTTATCACTCACCACATATCATTCATTTATCACTTAACATATCATTCACCATTCACTTATCATAACCATACAAAGTTCACTTATCATACTCATAATTATCTACACATTTCAACCATTTAAACATATGCATTTCAACTCACATGCACACCCACCTCTTTCCAACATCTCACATGCATTTCCACCTTCCTACTTCATCATTTCACCACATTCTCCCTCTTTAATTCCACATGCATTCACTTCATCATTCCACCATTCATTCTTTATTCCACAAACAAGTCACATGCATTTCCACCTTCCTACTTCATCATTTCACCACATTCTCCCTCTTTAACTCATTTCATTATTCATTCACTTTGCATTCATCACTTCCACCCCACATGCACCCTTTATTCTTCATCATTGCAACCATGGCACATTTACACCAACAA